ACACACACACACACACACACACACACACACACACACACACACACACACACACACACACACACACACACACACACACACACACACACACACACACACACACACACACACACACACACACACACACACACACACACACACACACACACACACACACACACACACAGCTTAATATGCGTTCCTGTTATTTCTCTGCAATTCTCTCGAGAATGTGATTTACAGCAGTTTCGATACGTTGACCTTTACGAGTTTTTTTTGCACATGTGAGAAATGTAGATTATTACCTTCCTGTTGATTTACAGAGCCTTTGTCGTCATGCTGGTGCTTGAGAAGAGGAATACCTGTGGAAAAGTGGTTTAAACTGAATTAAAACAGAAAAAATATATATGCACAATATTGCAAGCATGTCACAAATGTTATAAGAAGTTAAGGAAAGATTACTTTATGCATCACAAGAGGGACAAAGTGCTTCACAATAAACAAAACAGAAATCAAATCAACAAAGAGACGTTTTAAAAGTGTCCTCAGATCAACTAACTTTCCCATGGCTTTAAGGCAAACAAAGTAACATTTCAGCTTCAAAATGTCTTCAAAAATGTTCTTTAATATTATTTAAAATAGAAATGCACTCACCTGCTCCGTCAGGCCTCCAGTGACACACAACGTGACTGCAGGCAAACTCCATCTGAGACGAATAGAAAACAGTCATTCAAACATCAAAATCATCTTTTTTAACTTTCCTATGACTTTGACATGCATTAAGACTCAACTAACCCAAACGTATTAATACTTAAAGACATAAGCGTGATGGAAAGAGGGACAACAAGCGCTAAATGTGTCAGTAGGATGCAGAAATGACAGATCAGCAATAAGTCAACAGCAGCAGGTGTCTGAGTGAAAACATGAAAACATTTCCTGTTCAACAACAGTGAGGGGAAACCGAACAACATGCTAAATCATAGCCTGGTTAGGGTCATGTGAGTATATATAGGCTATATAGCATTTTTTAATAGTATAATATAGTAGTTTAAACGGGTATTAATAACATCTAGCGTGTGAGGTCACCAGGAAGTGGAAGGTTTTGCTGTTAAAACGTTCTTTATTTGGGGTAGTTTGAGTATTTAGCTGAACATAACGACCTCTTTTCAACCACCTTTTCAATTACTTACATAACAAAGTACTTTTTTTGGTAATTTCATAAACATCCGGAACTTTAAGTCAAAGATTTCAACGTTAAAAGTCGAAGTTTTGACACTTTTTAAACATTTTTTTATATTTTTGGTAAATGTCACGCGTGTTGTTTAGATATGCTAATTATAGCGAGAATATTGGTGAATTTTTATACTTTTTTTTACAATTGCAAATGAATGGTACATAAGGAAATGATAGGTGGTGGACAAATCAGGTTAAAGAGATTCTGCTTACGTTGGCAAACACACACACACACACACACACACACACACACACACACACACACACTTCATACATTTGACCGTCGTACAACAGTAAAAGCACAAATGACTCTCCTTACACCCTGAATGAAAACAAAACACTCACATTAGATCATAAAGAGTATTCCTTTGCCGGTGTCTGTGTGCTGTGGTGTCGCGGAAACTGAAAGCAAGCGTTTGTAACTCGGCAGGTTTATATAAATGTGTGTGGGTGTGTTCAAAGTCCAAGAAACGCTGTGCATATGTGTGTGTGTGTGTGTGTGTGTGTGTGGAAGGAAGTTGGCAGGGCAAATGAAAGGAAGTAAGAAGAGTTGAAAGAAAGCAGAAAAAGATATGCAGATGTTTTTTAATCATAAAACACACTTAGTTGTTTATTTACTGTTTATTATTTACAGTTTAATAGTTATTTTATTCATTATAATTAACACTGTTGCTTTAAGAAAGTGCATTGTAATCCTTGTACAGCATTTGCTACACAGAGATTACATAATAAATGTCATAATATTTGACTTTTTTACTATTCTACGAAACAACAAACTACTCTAATGAATCATGTAATCAAGGCAGATGATGATGGTGTTGAACGCTGAACTAAAGTCTATGAACAGCATCCTAACATAAGAGTGTTTAGAGTCCAAGTGAGTGAAGCCTGGGTGGGGAGCAGAGGAGATTGCATCCTCAGTGGACCGCTTCGCTCGATATGCAAACTGAAACGGGTCCAGCGAGGGGGGAGGACCTCTCAAAGCACTTCATGAAGGTGGAAGTCAGCGCTACGGGGCGGTAGTGATTGAAGCAGGAACGTGATGACTTCTTCGGCACAGGTTTGATGGTGGTTACCTTGAAGCACGAGGGAACAACAGCCGGGCTCAGGCAGCCACCGGCAGCCAGTGAAGGCGGAGGAGTGGTGTGTCCATGGGAAGAACTTAGGGAGGTTGAAAACCAGTCGAGCTGCAGCAGTTTGAATGAGTTGTAAAGGTTGGATGGTGCTTGCAGGTAGACCAGCCAGGAGGGAGTCCCAGAGTTTTAGTAATCAAGATGTGAGAGGACAGGGGCCTGGACCAGAACCTGTGTTGCATTCTGGGTCAGTAGGAGATGTATCCTTATGTTGAGTAGGAGCGGTGGAGCAGCCATGTTAGCAGAGAAGGAAAGTTGGTCATTGAATATCACATCCAGATTCCTGCCAGTGTGAGTTTGGGAAACAACAGAGGTGCCGGTGTTGATGGAGAGATCATGGATGGGAGAGTCTTTACCTGGAAGGAAGAGCAGTTCTGTCTTGTCTGGGTTGAGCTTCAGGTGGTGTGCAAGCATCCACTGGGAGATGTTAGCCGGACAAGCAGAGATGCATAAGACCACCTTTGTTTCAGACCGTGGAAAAGAGATAAGCATTTTAGTGTCATCTGTAAAGTTTTAGCAGGAGAAGCCATGAGAGCAAATCTTAGAGCCGAGTGACTCAAAGTACAGATCCTCTCCAAGTTACCCTGTAGGTCTTTGAGGCAGGAGGTATGCAGCGAGGGTGCAGAGCCGGAAACTCAAAGTTCTTGGAGGGTGTGAAGGAGATCTGGTGGTTTGATGTCAACGCTGAAAAAGGTTCAGAAGGATGAGGATGGAGGAGAGGGAGGCTGCTCTAGCAGAACACAAAAAGTTTATATTCTGCTAACTGTTAAAAAAAAGCGGACTATTAGGTATGTTTCTGCCACGTGTTATATAGCTAATATTAGTTA